CCCCCCCCCCCCCCCCCTGCCATGCATTATGAACGCAGCCTTATTTGAGATAATATTGCTGACATGTAGATAGTAAGCTTAGCCTTGGTGGACAACATGTTCCGTAAGCGCATTAGGACCCCAATTTTTTCTGCCGCTATCTTGCAGACTTCTCTAATGTGAGTACCAAAGTTTAATTTTTCATCTGTTACTCCCAGTAGTTTCATTTCTGACCCACATTTGCATTGGACATGTGTAAGGATTATTGTATAGCCTGTTAGTGTCCCTTTGTCTCCATGTAATAGATATAGGGACGCTAAATGACGACATAAATGATATAACTACTTATATATGCATTATAGTGTCCTTGACTATAAATATAACCTTTCAATGTTATTCTATCTACAAAAAACACTTGGGCTTCCTGTGGTTTATCACATATAATCGATCGTGTTCTTTTGTATTTCAACTGTGATTTTTGTAGTGAATTAATCTAAATAAATATAGAAAAAAGAAGGGAGTTCAAGTTTATGAAGCTTACAGTCGGATTATAATCTAAACTGCTTGTGTAAATAAATAAGGTCTGGGTCGGCGCACTAAACTTTCAGTGATCCCTTCCCACCACGGGCTGAGAAAGTCACTGGCTGTTGTTCGACGAACTGTTCCTTTGTCATGCCATACCACCACAAAAACGTCCCCACCCCTCCCCTCTCCCAAAAGTTTGCATGCCTTGCTTTTTGCCCAAAATGAAACGTTCTTCAATTGAATATACCCTGCCTGTTTTTATCTGTACAATAATGATGAACTCTTCATTCCAAATATGTTGCACGTTCAGAACATTAAAGGGTTTGGTGTATTGAACTGAATGTATTGGCTTACGAAGAAATGTTTAAAATTTAAATCTTCAATTGCAACTTTTTCAAGATTCAAACTTTCTCTGTTTCTTGCTGTTTTATTTTATGTTTGAATATCCAAAGAGGTATTTTCAACATTGCCTAATCATACTTCACCTCGACAAGTGTGTTTCACCTCTTGTTAAGCATAATATGGTATGAGAAGTTAGCCAATAATTTTGGATTGAGAGCCACGGTTCTATTTGATTGGCTCCGATTGATATGGAAGCCATTTGAGCTCAATGGTACTTTTTGTTTGGCTCCGCGGAAGCCATTTTTGAGCAACAGTCCTTTTTATGAGGTGCCATATGGGACAATATTTCTATTTATTGAAATCACTTTTTCAAGTCTTTCTTTACAGCGTTCGCTTAGATCGCTCATTCACTGTGATGATCAACACATCTATCAATATTTCTATATATTCCTAGTGTCCTAGTGTCCTAGTGTCCTAGTGTCCTAGTGTCCTAGTGTCCTAGTGTCCTAGTGTCCTAGTGTCCTAGTGTCCT